CCCTCTGCCCGTAACCGGCTCTTTGGTTGTAGGTGTGCGCCGGCCCGGCCCTGCCCGCACTGACCGCAGGTTTTTTGAGCAGCTCTTTTTGTTGTAGATTCATCCCAGGAGCCTCGTGGTGCTGGCCCCGGGGATGGGATGCAGGAGCCTCCCCAGGAGTCCAGACCCTGCTCCTCGCTGGCGCTGCAGAGCCTGGAGAGCTCCTCGCCCGTTTCTCTTTGATCCATGAGCTGCTTTCCCTGGAGCTGCGGGCTCCATCCCGGTGGCTCTTCTCTGCCAGTACAGAAGGAGTTAAATGAGCCCCGGGTGACTCATCAAAGCAACTTTTCCTCTCCCTCCAGTCCTGAGAATCTATTTTGGCATCTTGGGAGGGAAAGTGATCTAAGCAGCTGCATTAATTAGGTGTGAAATTAATTACCCTATTTTTAAGCAAAAGTCATTTATCTTTTAAGGAAAGAAAAAGCGAACGTGGAGAGGTGAGGGATGGCAGAGATGGGGCCTGGGGCTGACAGTGAGACCCTGTCCCAGAGGGGGTGCAGGTCCCAGCATCTTCCTTCTGCTCTGGGAGATTGCTGGGGACATCCCAGAGCTTCTGGGGACATCCCAAAGCTGCTCAGTGCAGGTGCACATGGTAACCACAGCACTTTACCTGAACCCACGTCAGGGGTAGCAGGGCTGTGCCCCCACAGTGAGTGACCAGCTGAGGCCCAGCTGTGGGAGCTGGCATGGGGGGCTGTGGCCATTGCTCCCACTGGGGACAGGAGGATTGTGTGGCTCCTGGGGAGGGCTGGGGCCAGTGGGCACGCGAGACAGAGGGGCTGCAGGGAGGGCAGGGGGTGCTTGGTGGCTCCCCAGGCAGCCAGAGGGACCCCCAGAGCTGCCCACACCCCCTGGGAATGAACTCCTGCAGGGAGAGGACAGAGGGGACCTCCTGGAGAAGGGGTAAGGATGATCCCCGTGCCAAGGGAATCTTGCACCCTGTCCTGGCCAGGTGACGATGGCAGCAGGAGGGTGCTGGGGACGCCCCAGGTAGGTGAAACCCAAGGTCAGCCAGGCTGGGCCCTGCACTCTGACAAGCTCATCCAGCTGTCCTTAGTCTCCCACACTCTTCCTCTTGGACATTAACTTCCCCAGAGGCAGCACAAGGGCTCTGCCAGCTGCCAGCTCTGCCCTGGCCAGGAGTGAAGCCATAACCCCCTGTCCAGGCCTGGGTGATGCCACAGTGCTCCACCTGTGGGAACTGCTGGAGTCCAGCCCTGGAGGAGGCTGCAGCAGCTTCATCAGCCCTGGCACCCCTGGCATCTCCTGCTTTAGGCTGGTAGGCTAGCCAGGTAGGAGAACATCCCCCTGCAGCTGGGCTCGGCTCGTCTCTGACCCACCACGGCTTAGCTGGGACAGGAGCAGAGTTTGGGGGCAGCTCAGGAGTGGGGCAGCTGGGCTGGGGGCTCCACAAGGCAGAGCTTTTCCAGTTTAAACCTCCCCAAACGCTGCTGGTCCCGGGCTCTCGCCACTCTCGCTCGCTGTGCCGGTGCCCTGTGCTCTCCAGGCCTCCACACACACCCTGTTAACTCTTCCTTCCTCTTCCTCTTCCTCCACAGGAACCCCTTTGCCAACGTCCAGCTGAAGCCAACGGTGACAAACGACCGCTCGGCCCCGCTCATCAGCTGATCCGGGAGCGCTGGCACCGCGTGGCACCCGCCACCTCCTCATCCTCATCTTCCTCATCCTCCTCCTCCTCGCTGCTGCATGTCCAGCTTCCCAGGACTCCATTCCTAGGCGGAACTTATTAATCCTGCTGCTTTGAAAGCCAAAGGCTCAAGCTAGTGCCCTAGTTCTCTCTTCTCTAGACTCCCTCGGTGGCAGGGGGTCACAGCGCCGCCGTGTCACCTGTCCCCTGCCTGTGCTGAGTGTGGTGGCATTTCCCGGAGTCAGGGCAGCGTGTCCCAGAGCTGGGGGGCCTCCCAGGCCCAGCAGCAGCTTGCTGTGGGTGGGGAAAGGGGCTCAGATGGAGAGCAACTCTCCATGGTTGGCTCACAGTGCTCCAGGGGGCAGCCAGGCAGAGAGGGCACGGTCCCCGTGCCCAGATGAGAGGGACCCCCAGGCCAGACGGGACACTGGGACACTCCCAGGCCAGGCAGGCAGGACATGGGGACACCCCCCAGGCCAGGCAGGACATGGGGACAGTCCCAGGCCAGGCAGGACACCCCGGGCAAGCCAAGGCACTGAGGGTGGCACAGGCAGCTCCCAGGCTCCCACCAGACCCCGGTGCCCACGCCATGCCCCGGGCTGGGACAGGGCAGGGGGTGCCAGCTCCGCTCCCAGAGCTCCTGCCGTGCCAGGGCTCGGGGTGCTGCAGGGATTTACGGTACTGCTGTAAAATATAAGCTAGGAAAAAACCACTGGTGGAGGCAGGGCAGTGTGGGAGCGAGCCTTGGGGTGCCCCTGCTCTCCCTGCAGACGGGAGCTCCTTGGGGTGCCCCTGCTCTCCCTGCAGACGGGAGCTCCCATCCGGACCTCTTGCTTGGCTCTTTGCTCTTCCTCTATTCCTAGGGCTGCATGAGAGAGAGAGATAGATAGAGATAAATATATATCAATATATACACACACACTTGCTGAGCTTACTGCTGGGGGTGCCCACGAGCGAGGTGGCTCCCACAGCCCTTCCCGCAGCTCCTGAGTGACCAGGGTCACATCCTTGCTCCACAGACAGGGAGGAGAGGTTTCCAGGCAGGAGCTGTGTCTCTCATGGGGGAGGGCTGGAACCCCAACAGAGTTTTTGCTTTTTCCGTTGTATTTCTCCTTTTGCACTTTCTGATCACTGGTGCAGCATGTCCCGGTGCCCACAGCCCGGGCAGTGCCCGCTTGGCTGGGCACTGGGCAGGGCACAGAGCATCCCCAGCCCGGGGGCTCGGTCCCAGTCGGACGTGGTGGCTCATCCATCTCTCCCGTGTCCCCTCTGATGGATTTTCCGGCTCCACTGCAGGAAAACAGCTTCACCCGTGACTGCCCAGGCTCCAGCTCTGCACGAGGGCTCCCAGCTCCATGATGTGCCTCCTCTTCCTCTCCCAGGGCTGGAGCAGATGGGTGGGGGGCACAGGGGCAGGGTGAGGGAAAGGGCTGGGGCAGTGGGTGGGAGAGGGCTGGTGGCCACAGCCCGGGGTGGGGACAGGCCTGGGGTCCCACTGCGGTGTCCTCTTCCACCCCCGTGCCAGGGGCTGTCCCCCGGGCCCCCCAAGCTGCCCCCCTGGCTCCAGCCAGCCCCCGGGGGCTTCGCTGCACCTCCTGGCTCGGTGGCACCTGCAAGACGTAACCTGAAATGATTTTTTATGAGAAAACGTAATTTATGAGCAATTCGGCCTCCCCCAGCCCTCCCTCCTGCAGCGTTTCCCTGGCCAGAGGCTCCTGCCTGGCCCTGGAGCGCGGCTGGGACCCGCCCGAGCTGGCTCCATCCTGGGTGCTGGGCAATGATCGGGGCAGGAAACGGCTTAAGATATTTTAAAAACTTTATTATTGGCCCGATGAGATTTGACACACATGCTAGGAGCTGTATGGAAATCAGCACTGATAAAAAATACAGCAATTATGACCCGTATTGAGAAAATAGACCATGTAAGAAGAGCCTTTCTATTAAAAAAGTTACCCAAGCCACAGCTCTGTCCTCATCCTGGACCTGCGGCGCCATAGACCAAACCCGGGGTGTGGGGTGGGGCTGGGCCAGCACCCCTGGGTGCCAGGGGCTGGGCAAACCCCCCAGGGCTGGGGGGTGCAGGGAATGGGGTTCAGGGGTAGGTGCTGAGGGAAGGGAATCCCAGGAGCACCCCAGTCCTGCGTGGGGAGCAGCTCTGGGTGCTGCACCCTGGTCAGGGAAGGGGGTGGGCTCCTGCTGGAAAGGATGAGGAAAAAGCTTGGGAGAATTTGGGTGACGGGGTGACAGGCCAGGTGGGGGCTTAAATAAAACACTTAAATGAGCACTCATTGCTTAGTGGGGGTATGGGGTGGCATGGTCACCCTGGGGCTGAATTGGGGTCCCCCAGGGTCCTGGGCTGGGGAACAGCCCCTGACCCCCACAGGAGCCTCCTGAGCACCGAGGGCACTCCAGCTGGGACACAGCTGGGCTGGCCATGGGAGACGGTGGGAGAAGGGTGGGTGGGGATGGGACACCTCTGCCAGCACCGGTGCCAGGCTGGGGATGGGCACATCCCGCGGGTGCCAGAGCTGTGTCCAGCCCAGGGTGGGACCACCCTGTGGCATGGAGCCCCTGGCACCAGCCCCATCCCACATGGGTGCTGCGTGTGCAGTGTCCCTGCACGGGGACACCCGTGTGCCCTCATCCCCCTACACAGGAGCCAGGACAGGGGCAGGGGCTCGGGGGGACATTTCTCACCTCAGGGTTTGGTCTATAGACCCCAAAAGGAACCAGCCCTGAATTCAAGGTTTCGCTCAGCTCCGCTTACTTCTATTTCCTTCCGGAAGCTGGAATTGCACAATTATCCTAAGCCTCGAATGAATAAAAAAAAAAAAAAAAACCAAAACAAAGAAAGAAACGAACAAACAAAAAACCCGAAACAGAACAAAGAACCACGAGCGCGCCCCCCTCCCCCCCTCCCCAATAAGTCTCTTTGGCAGCAATAACTTAAAATCGCGTCAATGTGGGTTCAGTCAACAGCAAGTTTTGGTTTTGGGGTGGGGTTGGGGTTAGGGGTTTTTAATAATTTTGTTTAAATACAAAAATAGCCGGGTTGGCGGGTCCCGGTGGGGGACACTCCCTCCACAACCAGCCCTCCAGGTGTTGCTCCTCACTACAATGGGCAAGGGTCCCAGCAGTCCTCAGGGTCCCCAGCTGGGACTGATCCCCGCAAACCAAGGGAGGGGAGCTCCAAATCATGGGGGTCGCTCTGGGCAGCCGGTGGCACCCCTGGCACGGGGAGTGACATCCAGAGTGGCAGCAGCCAGCGGCCCTCGGTCAGGAATGCCGTGGGGTGCCTCTGGGGCAGCCGTGGGGCAGCCGTGGGACAGCCAAGCTGCCACAAGGTGCAAGACTGAGCACGGGGCACAGGGAGGGGACGGCCCGGGGGAGAAGGGGTGTGGGGGACAAACTGCCTCGGGGAGCACACGTGGGCAAGAAGCCAAGGGGGAACTTCACTGGGGAGGACACTGGGCAAATGTTAGCAAGGTCAGGGCACTACCCTCGGAACGCTATAATTTATATATATATATGTATATATATATATATATAAGTGTCTATTTTACACGCACGCTCACAGCCGCCCGCGCGCGCGCTCGGCGTCACCGTCACCCACCGCCAGGCCCCGCGGGGGCCGCGCCGGCCCCGCTCCCACTCGAAGCAGCAAACGAGTTCCTTGTGACAAAATCTGCCTAAAAACCGAACCGCCCAGCGGGGTCTGGGAGCCCACGGGCGGCCCCCGCGCCGCCCCGGTGCCAGGGCAATGCCGACTGCGTCCCGGCCGGCTCACTCCCGGTCACCGTCTTCGCTGCTGCCTGCAACGAGCAGAGAGAGCCGTGAGAGGGTCCCGGACCCCCGTGGGACATCCGGCCCTGCAGGGTGCAGGGACAGGGCTCACAGTGTGGATGGCACTGGGGCACGGCTGCTCTGGGTACCCACGGAGCAGCATCCCGAGGGGGACTCACCTCCTATGGAGTCCATGTCCGAGTCGGAGACGTGGGTGATGGAGAACCGGGACACCGGGGCAGGTGACACCGTGAACCGGGAGAACTGGATGGGCAGCACCTGTTTCTGCGGCGGCACCACGGCCGCGGGGGGCTCCGCCGGCGTCCCCGGCAGCGAGGCCACCAGGGACTGCTTCACTGGCATCAGCGGGAAGTCGTCGTCCCACTCGAAGCCACCGCCTGGGACACAAAGTGAGGGGGCTGAGCCTACCGTGAGCCCCATAACCTCTAACCCCATGCCCCATAAACGTCCCTCCATCATCCCATAACCGCTGTCCCCATGACCCTATAACTGCCTCCCCATGATCCCGTAACTGCTGCCCTCTCACCACCCCACCATCACCAGCCCCATGAGCTCCTGGTCTCTCACTCTCTTCCGAGGCGTTGCCGTCCGAAGAGTCGTCGGAGGCCCCGAGCCTGTCCGTGGGGCTGGGGGGGCTGCCACTGGCAGGGGGCTGCCCCGAAGGCGAGGGGGGCTGCCCCGAAGGCAGGGTGGGCTCCGGGAAGCTCTGCTCAGCCAGCTCCCGCGTGGGGCTTTCCTGAGGATGGGGAAACAGCAGGGAGGAACATCACTGGGGGCTCGGCTGGGGATGGCTCCCACCACCAAAATGGCACGGAGCCGTGCCCAGCACGTGGCTCTGTCCCCAGGGCACCCACCTGGTCGAAGAGGTAGATGGTCACATCGTCGTAGAAGGAGACGGCCTTTTTCTTGCGCTCCAGGTCCTCGCAGAAGGACTCGGACAGCAGGCTGGGCATCTTGAGGAGGCTGCGCAGGTTCCGGCCGCTCTGGCTCTCGGCCACCACGATGGGCACGGCCGCCGGCTCCTCCTCGCTCTCCTCGCTCTGCTCCTGGATGTTGTAGCAGCGCAGCTCCTCATCCGACTCGTCGCTGTCTTCCGTGTCCTCCTCCTCCTCCTCTGGCTCCTCTCGGCGCTCGGGGGCAGCCGGGGCCGGGGAGAGACCGGGCGGTGATTCTGCCCCGGGGAGCAGCGTGCTGGGTCCCCCCGGCGCATCGCCCACCCCGGGCCCCTCCAGGGGCAGCCCCCGCTCCCCAGGCCCCAGCGCGGGGGTCACAGTCTGTTTGTCCCCCACTGTGGCCCCCCCAAGTCCAGGGACGCCCTCGGACACGCAGGTCCCTCCAACCGCTGATGGCTCCCCAGGGCTCACAGGCACCGGGGTCAAGAGGAAAGTCTTGGGGGTCACGGAGCCCGGGGGACAGGTGTCTGTGTCGGGGCGCGGGGGGCTGCCCGGCACCAGCCCCGTGCCAGCGGGGCTCTGCTCGGTGCCAGGCACCTGCTCCGGGGAGCTCCCGGCCCCTGCGGCCACCCAGTCCCCCTCCAAAGCCACGGCCGCCGGCGTGGGCACCGCCACCGCGACGCCAGGCGCGGCCGGGGGGCTGCCGGGTGCCCCCGGCGGGTGCAGCGGGTCCTCTCCTCGCCCCGTGTCCTGCAAAGGGGAGCGGGGACCCTCCTCCGCCTCCGGGGTGCGGGAGCCATCGCTGTCCCCCTCGTCCTTGTGGCCGCGCTCGGCCTCGGCGTCGCAGTCGGAGAAATAGGCAGAGTCGCGGTACGGGCTCTTCTCGGCCAGGCCGGGCACCTCGGGCCCCGGGCCGCTGGGCAGCCGCGTCTCGGGGGCCGCAGCCTCGCCCTCGGCCCCCGGCAGCCCCGGGGGCGGCTTCCCCAGCTGGCCGAAGGCCTCGGGCTCTCGGGGCTCGTGGGGCTCCTTGAGCACGAACTCGGGGGACTCGTTGTTCTCGGTGTCGTAGCCGCTGTCGAGGGCGCGGGCCTGGCCGGCGGGCACGAAGGCGCCGGGGCTGAGCACCTCGCAGGAGCTGCCGGTGGAGGGGATGTCCAGCGACTCCAGCGAGTCCGGCGTGCCCACCTGCTTCTGCAGGGACCTGAGCGCCGGGGCCGCCTCCGCCCGCTCCGTGTACTCCCCGGAGAAGTCGGTGAAGACGCCGGAGGTCAGCTCGGCCGTGTCCTCGTCGCTGCCCTCGTCCGCGCTGGGGAAGCTGCTGCTCGAGAAGGTCTTGTCGGGCGTCCGGTCGGCGTCGCCGGCGGCACAGGCGCCGCTCTCGGCCACGGCCTCGGCGGGCGCCGGGGCGGGCTCCGCTGCGGGCTGGGCGCCGTCCGCGCCGGGCTGCCCGGGGGGGCCGGGGCTCGGGGCGGCCGTGCCAGCCGGGGGGGGGGCGGCCTCGCCCGGGCCCGCGGCGGCGGCGGCGGGGGGCGGCGGGCTGCGGGCAGGGCTTCCCCCGGCCGGGCTCTCCTCAGGGCGGGCATCGCGCGGGGCCCCCGGCGCAGGTGGCGGGGCCGCGGCGGGGCCCCAGGGCGCGGCGGGGCTCTCCGCCAGCGTGCCGGGCTGCGCGGGGCCGCAGGGTGATGAGTCACGGCCGTGCCAGGCCTGCCGCCGCGGGGAGGGCGAGCGGCACGGGGAGGAGGAGCCGCCGGCCATGGCGGGGGGCTGATCCTGCCGCGGGCGGAGGAAGTCGCGTCCCGGCGGGGACCCCCCGAGCTGGGGCTGCCCGCGGGGCACCGTGCCCAGCGGCTTGGCCATGAGCCCGCGGAAGGTGATCATGCGGCGGTAGCACCAGCTGTCGCCGGCCGGGGGCTCGCGGGGGCTGCCGCCGCCGATGTTGTTGTTGGAGGAGCTGTTGGAGGCCCACGGGTGCCGCCGAGGCGAGGGGCTGGCACCGGCCGCCTCGGGGGCGCTGGGGGGGCTCTCCTCGCCCAGCTCCAGCGCCACGCAGTCCGGAGGGGCCCCGCTCGGGCCCGCCGTGCCCCCGTACCCCGGCGGGCTGTAGGCGCAGTTCCCCGACGGCGAGACGCCCAGCGGGTCGGCAAACGCACCGGGCTGGAAGGCGGGCACGGGCCAGTCCTGGCCGCCCGGCTGGGGGGGCTCCTCCTCCAGCAGGTACCCCTCGGCCCCGCGGCTGGGGGACGGCTCGTATCCCCGCGGCTCCGGCCCGGGGCACGGGTACGGGTAGTACTCTGCGCACTCCCAGGAGCCCTCGGCCGCGGGAGCGTGGCCCAGCAGCGGCTCCATGCTCAGGGACACCGTGGGGCTGCCCGAGTCCGAGTCGTAGGCGCCGCCGCCGCGGCCGCCCTGCGCTCTCCAGCAGGCCGGGCCCCGCGGGCCGCCCCGCTCGCCCGCCGGGCTGTAGGTGCACATGGCGTAGTCCAGCTCGGCGCTGCCCTCGCCGGGGCCCTCGATGCGGATGTAGTACTCGCTGCCCAGAGAGGGGCTGTGCGCGCCCAGGATGGGCACCACGCCGGGCGCCGGCACCCCGGGGCAGCCCGACGCCTTGCACTCGTAGCAGGACGGGGACACCCCCAGGCTGAGCCCCGCCGTGGTGGCCGGGTAATAGAGGTCGTGGTAGCGGGCGGCGCTGCTGGGGCTCAGGGACCCCAGCGGGGCCTGGAAGTGCTCGGTCTTGGTGTGCTCCCACTTGTACTCGAAGTTGAGGCCGTGGCTGGTCTCCATGACGGTGAGGATGTCGTCCCCGTCCGAGGGGAAGCCGTCGGCCGAGAACTGCTCCAGCAGCGGGAAGGACGAGAGCTCGGGGCCGTGGTGGCTGCCGCTGGCGCTGCCGTTGGGCTTCATGGAATTCCAGCGCTTCTCGAAGTCCTCCTCGGCCTCCGTGGCGCCCTTGGCGCACAGGTAGGACAGCAGCAGGTGCACCTCCTCGGCCGTGGGGCGCTGCTCGGGCTGCAGCCAGCAGAACTGCATCACCTCGTACCTGCCGTGGGGAGCGGCAGCGTCAGCCCGGCCCCCGCCCGTGCCGCGGGGCAGGGGAAGGGGCACCTCGGGCTCCTCACCAGCGCTCCGACAGCGACAGCTTCAGCTGGGGCTTGGGCAGCTTCAGCTGCTGCTCCTTGATGGCGTAGGCCAGCACTTGGCGGTCGGAGTAGTGGTCGTAGGGCTGGCCGCCCAACTCAAACAGCTCCCAGATGGTGACGCCCAGCGACCTGCGGGCATGGCACCGTGCTGGGGCTGCAGGGAGAGCCCCATCCCACCCCCTCTGCCAGCCCCAAAACCACCCCGACGCACCCCGTGAGGCTGCAGAGCCCCAAAACCACCCCCATGCACCCCAGAGATGAGGCTGCAGCCCCCCGAGCCCCCCAGAGCCGCTCACCAGACGTTGCTGGCCTTGGTCTGGTCCACCACGAGCAGGTTGCCGTGCACCTCATCGATGAGCTCGGGCGCGATCCAGCGCAGCGGCACCCACAGCTGGTCGGCCGTCACGAAGTAGTCGTCCTGCCAAGTGTGCAGGGTCAGTACGAGAAGAGAACGTCAATCCATGGCGTCAGGGACCGGCCACGCTGCCACCCCCTCCCTCCCCTGCCTCCCCAGCTTTCACTGCTGCCCCCCGTGCTCCTTGTCCCCCCACTCTGCCCCCCGTGCCCCTTGTTCCCCCACACTGCCCCTTGTGCCCCTTGTTCCCCCACGCTGCCCCCAGCCTGTCCTGCTCTGCTCCTGGCACCTACTGTCCCCTGTTGCCTCCCCTCCTCGCCCCCTCTGCTCCCCCACCTGAGCCCCTCCAGACCCCCAGTTCGGCAATCCCAGCTCTGCAGGAGCTGTGGGCAAACTGGAGCAGGGCAGAGACACAAATGGACAACCCCACCCTGCAGCTGCCTGCAGGGTCCTGTGCCTGGCAGAGGGGCACGTCTGGGCCAGCCCACTGGGAGGGTGCCAGGGCACACCGGGTGGCACTAAGGGTCCCTCTCAGGGTGATCTGAACCCCCCTGCCCCCCGCAAACACAGGGGTGCCCCGACACCGCTGGGCAAGGGGATGTGTGGGGTGGGGGGGTAAAGCTCATCGGGTCTGTGCCAGGGTGGGTACAGGGGGGGATCCCAGCCCCAGCCCCCTCCTCCCTCCAACCAGCCTTACTTTGTACTTGCAGTGCGAGAGCCCGTAGTCCCCGATCTTCACGGTGAGGTCGGCGGTCAGGAGGCAGTTCCGCAGGGCCAGGTCGCTGCCAAGCAAAGCCGGAGCTGTCACCGGCCCCGAGAGCTCGGCGGGCACCACCGGGACCCGGCTGGGGCGGCCGAGCGGCGGCGGGGCCGGTCCCGCCCGCTCCGGGCGTGCCCTAACGCGGCTCTCAGTGCACGGCAGGAATGCCTGCGCGGCTGTCCGTCCGTCCATCCGTCACACGCCGAGCCAAGCAGAAGGCGCCTGTTCCCGGGCAACGTGAGCCCTGGCACGGGGCCGGGCAGCCGGGCGGCTGCTCCGGCACTGGGCGGGCACAGACAGGACCACCGAGGCTGGGCTGCCCGAAGGGAGTCCCTCTCCAGCACAGCTGGGAGCCCCGCGTCCCCCTCCCACAGCTCCAGCACCCTCGTGGGGACCCACCTGCAGAGCCAGGCTCGGCTGGGGACGCTCCGGTGGCCCCTGACGGCAGCGCGCCCCCTCCTCAACAAAATCACTGATGCTGGAGTCTCCGTGTGCAACTCACTCAGCACCAGGATATTGTTGGGCAGGAGGAGCAGCGGTGGGGCAGGAGCGCTGGCACCTTGGGACCCCCGTGCAGACCCTCCCTGCTCCCCAGCAGGCAGCCCGGCGTACCTGTGGATGTAGTTGTTCCTGTGCAGGTGCAGCACACCGCAGGCCACCTCACACGCCATCCTCTGCAGGGTCAGCAGGTCCGGGGTCATGGCCTCGGCCCCCCGGCAGCTCCGCAGGTACCCCTTCAGGTCACCCTGCGGGCAGTGCCACTGTCACCCCCCGTGCCTGGCACCCGGGGGCACCGCGGGCAGCGGGCACAGGGACTCACCAGCGGGCAGAACTCCATCACCAGCAGGTACGGCGTGACCTCGGCGCACTGGGCCAGGCACTGCAGCAGGTTGGTGTGCTGGAGGGCTCTGCGTGGGCACAGCAACGGGGGGGTTTGTGCGCCACTGCCCTTCCTGTGCCAGGGGCATGGCAGCAGTGCCCATCGCCCTTCCTGTGCCAGGGGGATGGCAGCAGTGCCCACTGCCCTTCCTGTGCCAGGGGCATGGCAGCAGTGCCCACTGCCCTTCCTGTGCCAGGGGCATGGCAGCAGTGCCCATCGCCCTTCCTGTGCCAGGCGAATGGCAGCAGTGCCCATCGCCCTTCCTGTGCCAGGGGCATGGCAGCAGTGCCCCAGGAGCCATCGTCCTGCCTGCACCACAGGGGCTGCTGGGAGCGGGTACCAGCACGTCCCAGCGCCCGGGATGTGTCACAAAGGGACATTTGTTCAGCTGTGCTGGGGCAGGAGCAGCTCTGTGCCCCCCCCCTTGGCCCCATGAGCTCTGCCCATGACCTCACTGCTGCCCCATGGATGGCTGTGGCCCCACGGAGCAAGGGGCAGCCACGGCTCTGCCTGGCAGCTGAAGGTGGCACGGGGTGGATCTGCCCCCGTGCCACAGCATCCCCGCTCCCAGCACTGTGGAGTGACCCCAGAGGTACCTGTAGGGCTGCGCTTCTTCCAGGAACTGCATCTGGTCCTGCACGCTGGCACTCGCCTTCAGCTCCTTCACCACCACCTGGGTGCTGCTGATGCCCGAGTTCACCTCCCCCAGGAACACCTGGGGTGAGGGACAGGCTCATCCCTCCATCCACACCCCAGACCCCCCTGGCACAGCCGGGGTCCCGTGTCCCACTGGGGTGGGGGGTCCGGGGGTCCCTGGGCTCACCTTGCCGAACCAGCCATGGCCGATCTCCTTCAGGTACAGCAGGCTCTGCCGCCCCAGGTCCGCCGACTTGAGGAGCTGCACTGTAACAGAGCCCATCCAGCTGCCCGCGTGTCCCCCTGCCCGCACATCCCCCTGCCTGCACATCCCCCTGGCCCCCTGCCCCCACATCCCCCTGGCCCCCTGCCTGTGCTCCCCACCAGTCCCAGCCGGGCCCTGCTGTCCTCACCGTGCCACCCGGTGCCACCCCAGGATGCCCCGGAGCATCCCTCCCCGGGAATCCTGCATCCCAGGCATGCTCGTCCCCAGGCATCCTCCCACGACCAGGGGATGTGGGCTGTCAGTGTGCCCGGGCGGGATGGCAGCAGAGCTGCTCCCTGCCCCTCTCCTCCGCAGGGTGTGCAGAGCTGAGCCCGCACAGCGCTGGCATTTAGCCCCTTCCCAGCCCCCCGGCACAGCCCGGCCCCTCGGGAGCCCGTGCCAAGGGCAGGCAGCAATGGGGCCATTGTTGGTCCGTCCTGCCCTCCCCTCTGCGGCCATTCTTTGGGCAGGGAGTGACACGGGGTGGGAGGGGGCACAGCCAGGCGCCCCCCACATTCCTCTCCCACTCAGGGCCTTGTTTACATGGGCCAGGGCTCGTGGATGTCACCGCTCAGGGTGGCCGTGTCCTGTCCCACCCTGTGCGGCTCCCCTGGGCTGGGACACACCAGAGGGACAAGGGACCCTCGCACAGGGGGACCTGCAGTGCTCCCCAGGGATCCCGGCTGCCTGTCCCTTGCCAGGGCTCTGCTGGAGCTGTCCCTCCACCGCAGGGGACACCCAGCATCCCCACGTCACCCGTGCCCAGTGACGAGAGACCCCAACCACGGCATACAGGGCTCCTGCCCCGGCCTGCCTTACCTGAGCGGCCCGGCTGCTTGGCCATGGGCAGGGACACCTTGGTGAGGGGCAGCACGTAGACCTCGGGGCCATGCTGGGGGGCAGGCGAGCCCTGCGCCGACAGCTCTGTCACGTAGTCGTCCCCCTCGGCGTTCTCAAACTCCTGGTTCGGGGTGCAGGGGGGTGACACACCGAGCAGAGACAATGCCCCGTGGGCTGCCCACTGCTCTAGTGCCCGCACACCCCTCTGCCCCGGCAGGCTCATTAAATCCCCCCTCCCTGCACACAGCCCTGCCCCCCGCCCGTCCCGTTACCTGTCTGTGCCGCCCCGGCAGCCCCCGGCTCCCAAAGGCCGCCCGGGCCAGCAGGTAGGACACGGTGAGCATCTCTCCGTGCCAGGCCGTGCCTCATGGCGCTGCCAGCCCCGCGCCGTGTGCCATGCGCCACCGCGGGCCATGCGCGTGGCACACGGCGCGGCCGCTCGCACATAAATACGAGTGCGGGGGCACCGGGGGGTCGCTGTCCCCCCCCGGCACGCCGAGGTGCTCCGGCGGTGTGGGACGGTGCACAACACCCGGCGTGTCCCCCCCGGCCTGACCCCCTCCCGCCGCGGGCGCCTCAAGCCTCCACAAAAATCCCAGCAATTAGGGAAAAAGCGTTTTCTCGGCACATTCTGTGCCTGTGAGGTCACGGTGCCTCCCACCCTCGGGGGCGTGCGGGTGGGACCGGGCCCTTAACCGTGCGTGGCCTGGCCGGGAGCACGGATGGGTCAGGGTGCCACCCCAAGGGTCCTGAATCCCACAGATCCACGCTCTGTAAAGCTGGGATCCAGGATGTGACCCCAAGGATGCTGAGTCCCACAGACCCACGCTCTGTGGGGCTGGGATCCAGGGTGTGACCCCAAGGATGCTGAATCCCACAGACCCACGCTCTGTAAAGCTGGGATCCAGGATGTGACCCCAAGGATGCTGAATCCCACAGACCCACGCTCTGTAAAGCTGGGATCCAGTATGTGACCCCAAGGATGCTGAATCCCACAGACCCACGCTCTGTGGGGCTGGGATCCAGGATCCAACCCCAGTGTGCTGAACCCCTCCCTCCAAGCGCTGCTCTCCTGAGCCAGGACACATCCACTGGCGTGGAGAATTCTGCACCAGGAGCCTCCAGACACCTCCATCCCTCGCTGGGTCCCTGGTTAGAGCCCCCCACCCCGGCCTGGAACCCCTCCCGGCCCCTCAGCTCACCTTGAAGCCAATGTCCCCCTTCTTGCAGCACAGACAGGCCAACATGAGGAAGATGAAGGTGAAGAGCCCCGAGAAGGAAACGGCCACAACAGCCAGCGAGGAGGACCAGGAGAGCTCACTAAGGGGGGTGCCGTCTGTGGGGACACGAGGTGGTCAGGGCTGGGGTACCAGGGAGGGGTCACAGGGCATGGGGAAGGGACACGGCTGCACTGGCTGGGCACTGCACCCTCTGGGCACCAGCACACCCCAAATCCCAGCACCTGCCCCCCCACTCCAGCTGTGCGGTGTCCCGTGGGGTGGCAGGGCACACGGTAGCAGCGGAGGTGGCCGTGTCACAGCTGCCCATCCCCAGCAGGCCCCGCTGCCAGCTGCAGCTGCCACATTACTATTCTGTCCGGAGCCTGCCCAAACAACCGGCGCCCTTGTGGTGGGAGCAGCCGGAAGGTCGTGGCACTGCCAGCAGAGACCCCCAGAGCCCCGTGGTACCCGGCTGGGACAGTGCCCTGTGCCCAGCCAGGAGCCTGGCACAGACCCCGCTGGTGCCATGCTCCCTCCCTGGTCACCAAGCCCCTGCCGGGGATGCTCGTGGCACACACGTGGCTCCAGCATGTGGCCCACGGAGTGTCCCTGTCCCTGTGCCCTGGCCACGCTGCCCTGCTCCACAGCTCCAGCTCGGGCTCCCCTGTGTCCTTGAGACTGGCGCCTGAAGGGCACCAGGGCTGGGGAAGGATCTGCTGCCCTCATGGGCACCAGCAGCACCCGCTGCCCCCAGGCACTGCCCGGCGCCACGCAGGGTGGGCACAGGGCACCCTGGCTCCCGGCATGGCCCCACAGGCCTTGGCACGGCCCAGCCATGCCAGGGAGCAGGGAAGGAGCTCCAGAGCCATCTTCTGAGGCTCGGGATGCAGAGCCGAACCTGGGAGGAGCGGGGGGCGGCGTGCCCCCCCTTCCAGCTGGTTTCCATGGTGAACACACTTTGTGCCGCCAACGTCACCATTTTCCCTGGATAGTGGGACAGCGAGAGAGAAAATGACTCACTGAAAAGAGCCTTTGAACGGCAACGGGAGCAGAGCACGGGGACGGGAGCCCGTCCGAGGGCACCGTCAGCTGGGCTGCCCGAGCTCGGGAACTGGAGGTTCCCAGAGAGCACAACAGGCCAGGGAGATCCAGCTGGGCCTGCCTCAGTTTCCCCACCTGCACAGCCAGAGACCTGGGAGCCGTGACCAGCCCAGACCGGGCAGCGGCACCACCACTGCCATGGCCCACTGGCACCCTCCCTCCCTGTACCCACAGCAACGGCGATGGGAAGTGTGGCATCATCTCAGATGGCAAATTATCCCAGATCCAGGTCAGGTGCGCCTGCAGCAGCAGCTGCTGGAGTGCAGGGAGCACCAGGACACGAGGGACACCAGGACAGCAGGGACACCAGGGACACTGGGGCACAGTGAGTGCAGCCTGAAGTACCCCAGGACCCTCAAGAGAAACCAGGGCCCCCAGCACGTCCCGCCCTCCATTGCCAGGCTCTGCCTCCCACTCTGCCAGCAGGAGTGAGGTTCCCTGGCACCAAAGCCATGCCCTGCCCTGGCCTTCCTCACCACAGGGGTGCTCTGTGCATCCCCCAGAACTGCGGGGTCACTCACAGCCCCTCACCCAGCGACCCCAGAGCCAGGGATCACCCACCCTCACCGGGCCAGCCCCACGGCAGGGGACAGCTGGGGACAGCTGGGGACTGCTGGGGCTGCTGGGGGCTGCTGGGGGCTGCTGGGGCTGGTGGCAGCAGACAGGCCACAGCTCCAGGGACACCTGCCCAGCCTCACCCCCAGCCCTGGCAAACGGGAGCAGAAGGGACACAGGGAAAGGGGGGGATGCTGGATGCCGTGAGGTGCAGTGGGGTGTAACGGGATGTAATGGGATGCAATGGGGTGCAGTGGGGTGCAGTGAGGTGCAGCAGGGTACAATGGGATGCAGTGAGGTGCTGTGGGGTGCAGTGGGATGCAATGGGGTGCAGCAGGGTGTAATGGGATGCAGTGGGATGTAGCAGGGTGCAGCGGGGTACAATGGGATGCAGTGGGGTGCAGTAGGGTGCAGTGGGATTCAGCGGGGTGCGTTGGGATGCAGTGAGCTACAATGGGGTGCAGTGGGATGCAGCAGGGTACATTGGGATGCAGTGAGCTACAGCGGGGTGCAGCAGGGTGCAGTGAGGTGCGTTGAGGTGCAGCAGCCGCCCTCCCACCCCACGGAAGGCACGGCGCACCCGCGGCCGGCACAGCCCCGCCCGCGCCGTTCCCCGCCTGTTGCATCGCCCACCCAGCGCAGGTCGCGGCTCCGAGCGGGGCCGGGCCGAGCCCGGGGTGTCCCTCCCGCCGCCGCTGCTGACTCACGGCCCGGCCGGGCCCCGCTCCTCCGGCGGCCGGGGGCGATGCTGCGGCCGCCCGGCGATCCCGGCCCTGCCGGCGGAGCCCGCCCGGCCAGCGGGGCTGACGTGTGCGGAAGGGCCGAGCCGGGGCTCCCGCAGGGCCGGCGGCAGCTCGGGGCTCCGGGCCGGGCACGGCACTGCCCCGGACTCCGGGCACGGCACCCCCCGACCCCGCTCCCACCGGGGCCCCGCTGCAGCACCTACCGCTGTGCCTCAGTTTCCCCACTGGCGGTTCCCAGCTGCCCTGGAAGGGCTCGCTGGCTCATCCAGGGATGGATGCTCTGGCGCCTTGGGAGCATGGGCCATACATCCCCCCTTCCCTCTGGCTGCCCACCGCGGATTCCAGGCTGGAAAGATGCCAGATCCTGCTGGGCAGGGTTGGGTTTGGGCAGGGAGAAGGGCAGGGTATGGGTAGGAAGCAAGGCAAGATTGGGGCAGGATTTGGGCAAGATTGGGGCAGGATTTGGACAGGGAGCAGGGCAGGACTCGGGCAGGATTGGGGTGGGATTCAGGCAGGGAGCAGGGCAGGACTGGGGCAGGATTGGGATTTGGGCAGGATCAAACACTCACGTCCCTCAGCCCCTCTGGCCACGGGCTGCTCGCTCCCATCCCAGCCCCATCCACTCTCCCTGGCATCACTCACTAATCCCCGTGCCCATGGGCAGCTTCCAGGGAAGCAATTTCACAGCCCACAGGACACGCTCTGCACATCCCCGCTGCCCTTTGGGGTGTGAGCACGGGCTGGGCCTGGGGGCTGAGCAGCTCCGGGGGAAACTGAGGCACCCGCAGGAACCACCCTGAGCTGTGCCCCTGAGCCTGGAAGCCCCTGCCATGGGAGCAGCCACGGGGCTGGCAGTAGCCACGGTGCCAGCCAGGAGCCTGGCACGGAGCTGGCACCCACAGCATCCTCCCCTGGGATCCCTCGGGATCCTGGCACCCCTCAGTGGTACCCAGAGCCTGCTCCGCTGGGCTGCTGCAGGATCCAGGCATCCCCTCACCAAAAGCAGGAGCAGGGAGCAGCACCCTTCATCCCATTGCTGGAGACCTTTTCCCACCAGGAAGAGCCAGAGCCACTGGAGCAGCCTCTCTGGTGATTAATAGATCAGTTAATTGTGAATTCCAGGCACGCCTGGCTAATCCCTTCTCCTTCTGTATCTCTTAGCGTGGCGTATTTCACCAAAAGGATTGATTCTGCCCTTTCATTCTGGTTTTACCATCTAGGCCTGAAACAGCAGCAAAAAATAAATAGGTGGAAAATAACAGAAAATCATCCATCGTTTCCTGAAGCAACGAAATAAAAACAAGGATTGTGCTAGGGACAGGCCGGGCTCTGGCGTTGCTGCGCACACTCCACGCGTGTCAGCCTGATTAGGGACAAAAAATCAAGTTCCTCCATCAAAGCCTGCCCTGATGCAGAGCCAACAATTCCCTCTGCTTCCACAGAAAATAATACTAATATTATTATAATAATATAATTATTATAATGTAATTCTAATAATACTATAATAATAATATATGGTAATAATAATGTCTATAATAATAATATATAGTAATAATATATTATTATTATTATATAGGATATTATAATTGTGTATGGAATTGTATATAGAATTATACATGGAATTACACATATATTGTATTTCTATATATAATTATATAGTCTATACGGATTATAGAATTATTAGTATTATAATAATATATTGAAATAAAAAAAGAGTATTATAAAAGGCATGCAGAGCAAGCTCAAATTGATTATTTAAACTGAGCTTGTTCTCAGTGAGCGCTGTGCAGCCCATCCCACACCATGGAGCCCGGGATCCCCGTGCCAGGGGCAGTACCAGGGGCAGTGCCGGGGCAGTACCGGGGCAGTACCGGGGCAGTGCCAGGGCAGTACCGGGGCAGTACCGGGGGCAGTACCAGGGGCAGTACCGGGGCAGTACCGGGGCAATACCGGGGTAGTACCAGGGCAGTGCCAGGGCAGTACCGGGGCAGTGCCAGGGCAGTACCGGGGCAGTACCAGGAGCAGTACCAGGGGCAGTACCGGGGCAGTACCGGGGCAGTACCGGGGCAATACCGGGGTAGTACCAGGGCAGTACCGGGGCAGTACCGGGGCAGTACCGGGGCAGTGCCAGGGCAGTACCGGGGCAGTACCGGGGGCAGTACCAGGGGCAGTACCGGGGCAGTACCGGGGCAATACCGGGGTAGTACCAGGGCAGTGCCAGGGCAGTACCGGGGCAGTACCGGGGGCAGTACCGGGCACATGGCCCCGGCCCACCGAGGCTCGCAGAGCCCGGGGCCTTTACGTAACAGCGGGAGCGGCAGCGCGAGAGGGGCGCCCTATTTATATCCCAAACGCTCGTTATGAAACGAGCAGCTCCGGCTCCCGAGCACGGCCCGAGCAGGGGGAGGCCGCGGGGTGAGGGTGTCCCCTGGCACTGGAAGGAGCCCGGGCTCGGGGTCTGGCTCTGCCCCCCAGCATGGCCCAGACCCCACTGCCCAACCCTGAGCGGGGCTCGGCATCGAGGATGCTCAGGACACGGAGCTGGGCAGGGCCTGGCACCTCCCTGCCCCACGTCCACCCTCGGGTCAGTCCGTGGTGCCCAAATCACCGTCAGGCACGGGAACACACAGAGCAGGGCGGTGGAAAATCCCTCCTTCCCCACAGGGATGGCAGAGGGTGGGTAGCCGACAACCACTGAGCTATTTTGGAAAGGTGAAAACGGTGGCTGCTATGGTGGCCGGGCAGCAGGACACCCTGGCACAGCTGGGGCAGGAGCCTGGCAGCTGGTGGGTGCCCTGCCAGCCAGGGCAGAGCTGTTCCACTTGCAGCGTTTGCCCACACTGGAATTTTCCTTCGCTCCAGTAATTAAAACAAACGGCGCTAACCCCGCTGCTGGCACCGGGCTGCAGGGAGGACGTGGGCACGGCTGGCACAGGGGAAGGGGTAGGGAACAGGATCCCCCCAACAGTCTGGGCTGTGGGACAGCGGCTCTGCCGGAACTCCTGGGAAATTCCCATTCCTCCAGTGCTCAGCCCTCCCGAACCCACGATCCCCACGTACTCACTGTCCCTTGGCCCGTCCTGAGCTCCACCAGGAGCCCGGTGCCAGCTCTGGAGCATCCCAGCGTGCTCCGTGTCCCCTCAGTGTCCCTGGTCATCAGGGCCTGGGCCGGCCCTCGGAGCTTGGCCGATGCCAACGATGGCAGTGGCAGCCCTGAGATGGCTGTGCCGTGCTCTGATGGTGCTTCCCGGGCTCTCAGGGAGATTAATGCCCCCAGGACATTGATTTTCCTGCCAGTGGGCACGCTGAGTCAGCACTGAGCAGCTCCTCTCGGGCCAGCCCTGTCACCCTCCAGCCCTGTGACATGGCCCCGTGGGGTCCCTCTGGGAGCAAATTCCCACTGGGGATTGAGGGGCCACTTGCTGGGGCAGGAGAACATCTGGAGCCCTGGAGTGGCAGCAGTGCATGGCCAGGGCCATTATCCTGCATCCCATCACCCCTGGATCCCACCATGCCACTATGCCACCATCCCTGCATCCCACCATGCCACTATGCCACCATCCCTGGATCCCTCTGTGCCACCATCCCTGGATCCCACAGTGCCACCACCCCTGGATCCCTCCATGCCACCATCCCTGGATCCCACAGTGCCACCATCCCTGGATCCCTCCGTGCCACCATCCCTGGATCCCTCCATGCCGCCATCCCTGGATCTCACCATGCTACTGTGCCACCACCCCTGGATCCCTCCGTGCCACCATCCCTGGATCCCACAGTGCCACCACCCCTGGATCCCTCCATGCCACCACCCCTGGATCCCTCCGTGCCACCACCCCTGGATCCCTCCATGCCACCACCCTGGCAGTGCCCCCGGCCCGGTTCACTTGCCGGATCGGTGCAGCAGCACAGGGTGGGAGCAGGCTCAGCCATGGCACCGGAGCAGCCCGAGTGCCCCTCTGACCCAAATCTGGGATTTTCCAGCCCAGCGGTGGGATGGCGAGGAGGTGACGTCACACCGAGGATGCTGCCTGGCTACGGGCACCGAGCACTGAACACAGAGCCCGGATGGGTGTGAACCCCCCCCGGCACCAGGCTGGCAGTGCCACCGCTGCCCCACACGCGCTGCTGCCCCCGGGGTGCCAGGGCTCGGCTCGGGGGCACCGCAGCCCTGCCATGGCCGGGGGGATGGTGCCAGGGAGGGCAGAGCCACGGGCTGGCCTGGCACAGGGTGTCCCGGCAGGGCTGGGAGTGCCAGCCGGGCAGGGAGCCCGTGAGTCACAGCCCCGCTGCCCCCGGGGCCCTTTCAACCCCGGCGTATTAATTTCTGCTAATTGGCCCTGACAGCGATGGGTGCCAGCGTTCCAGAGAGCCCGCCCGTGTGCGTGGGGCAGGAGGGAGGGAGGGGAGAAAGGGGAGCAAAGTGGCACCCGCAGGGAACGGGATCCTGGCCCTGTCCTCTCACCGAGCCAGGTGGGGCCTGGCTGCCCTGTTGTGCTGTGCCGGTGCCATTCCCTGTGCCAGGACAGGGGGTTTGCCACATGCCACCCCACTCCGCCTGCCCCCGGCATCCCTGTGGGCACTGGGAGTCACCTCCTGGCTGTGTGCCCAGCTCCTGCTGCCCTCCAGCCCGGAGTGCCATCCCCCAGTGGGAAGCATGTGGCAAGACAGGACATTGGGCACGGTGCTGCCACCACTGCCACCTCCCAGCCGAGAAGCTGCTGCTGCCCTGCCCCAAATCCCCTCGGTGTGTCCAGTCCCAACAGCACCTTCCCCTGTATGGCCCGGTGGGTGCCAGAGCATGCCTGGCCCTGGTTTGGGTTGCCAGGGTCCTTCTGCCTGCTGTGTCCCCTTTGCCACCATGGTCCCCCAGGTCCTTTCCCATCCTTGTGCCAGGAGCAGCCGGAGGCACCGGACACGAGCACCAACACTCACCATGCTGCTGGCACCGAGTGTCGCCGCATGGCAGCAGGTGCCAGGTGGACCCAAAACCACAGGGCTGGGGGGAGCTCCTGCCCTCCCTTTTCCTCAACTCCCCAGGGCAGGGAGTGGGCACCCATTCCCCCTGGAAGCCCGGGAGATGTGGGGGACACGCTGGGGCAGGCAGGGCTGGGCTGTGCCCCACTGGTGGCTCCAGTGCTCCGTGCAGGAGCATCTCCAGGCCTGGCCTGGGAATGGGTGAACAGAGATGGGAACCACAAGGCTGCAGGGCTGGGACCCTCCCCCAGAGCCCCCAGAGCCCCCAGAGCCCCCAGAGCCCCCAGAGCCCCCAGAGCCCCCAGAGTCTGGAAGGGAATGAATCCCTGGCAGAGCTGATGCTGACATCCCTGACACAGATGTTGGGACAAGCCAAATCCAGCAGGTGAGGCTGGCACAGGAGCAGCCGCGCTGGCACATCCTGTGGCACCTCCACCCCAGGTGACACTGCTGCCACTGTCCCGTGCCACCAGGCCACCCATGGCCCAGCCTCCAACCGTGCATGTCCAGGGAATGCAGGACCAGGAGGAAGGAGATGCTCCCTCAGCAGCTCCAGAGCCCCCGGGCCTCTCCTGTCCTGCCCCAGCTGAGGTGCCAAGGCACCCCACAAACTGCTGCCCCCAGCCCCTCGCTGGCACGAGGCACCCCCAGGGAGCCAGGCTGGCACACGGGCAGGAGCTGCTGCCACATGGAGCAAATCCACAAAGCCGTGAAATGCAGAATGTGGTTTGTTCCCCCTTTAATTCCTCTCGCGGTGCGGGTGGGTGGCAGCTGCACGGCAGCGCCGAGCCCTGGGCCCGGCAGCACAGCACAGCAGCGATGCAAACAGGGATGGAGCTTTTGAAACCAAACCTTTTTGAAACCAAACCGGCAGGATTCGAGTGGAGCGGGGCCGCACCAAAAACCAGAGCAAAATCTCCAGAAGGAGAGGAGAGCCCGGCAAAAGGCTCCGTGCCGGCACTGCCGCAGTTTGGATGGAAATAATGAGATTTCAGAGGCAAATAACGAGCGGCTGGGGACAAAGTCCCCGCTCGGGGAGTCCTGGGGCGGCTCATTTCCAAATCCCCCCACGGATCCCGACCGTGCGCGGAGCGGCGGAGGAAGGAGGGAGCGGGAAGGCGGCGGGGAGGGATGCGGGAGCCGGCACCGACAGCGGAGCCTCGGGCAGCACCGCGCCCGGCACGGGCACCGCTCCGCCGCCCTCGCCCGGCACCGACCCGCGGTGTCCCGGGCGGGCGAACAAAGGGCCGGAGCCGAGCGCCCGCCGGACGCTCCCGCTCGGGGTCCCGGTGCCCGCGCGGTGCCAGCCCCGCGCCGGGAGCACACGGGGCGGCGGCGGGGGCGGCGGCGAGGGGCGGCTGCGGCGGCCGCAGCCCCGAACAGCACCGCAGTCGCCAGCCCCGCGCTGCTCCGCGGCTGCAGCATCTTCCTGCAGCTGCGCCGCGGCCGGAACACGGCGCTTACATAACGGCAGCGCCCCGAAACGCCGCTGCCCCCCGAGCCCCGGCACCCCCCGAGCCCCGCGGGGACCCTCAGCCCCCGCTCCCGGCGCCGCGGGGCTCAGCCCCGGCTCCGTCTTCCTCCCTCTCACCATCACCATCCTCCCTGTTGTTATTATTCCGTTCCAAGCCCGGAGATGCCTTCAGAGGCAGCGCAGCCCCGGGATTCCTCCGCGCTCCAGCCCGCCGAACAAAATGCCGCCCGGCTGCGGCAGCGACCCCACCGCACCGCCACACCGGGGGACACCCGCCACACCGGGGGACACCCGCCACACCGGGATGTCACACGGCCACACCAGGGTGTCACACGGCCACACAGAGGTGTCCCCCCGCCACACAGGGATGTCCGACTGTCACACCGGGGTGTCCCCCCGCCACATTGGGATGTAACATGGCCACACCAGGATGTCCCACCGCCACACCGGGGTGTCCCACCGCCATCCCGGATGTCACACGGCCACACCGGCTCGGCTCCGGCTGTCAGAGCCCGCACAGTGACATTCCCGGCGATGAGGGCGCGGGGATGCTCCGCTGGCGGTGCAGCGCGGCGCGGGGATGCCGTTCCCGGTGCACCGGGAGGGCAGCGGCGCGGGGCCGAGCCGGGCACACGGCGGAGCACCGGGGGAGGCTCGGGGCGCGGGTCCGGCCGCCCCGGGGCTGCGGCACTTACCGGGGTCGAAGTGGGAGCTGAAGGCGAGGCTGGGGCTGAGGAAGGCGGCCGCCATGGCAGCGGCGGCGGCGGGGAAGCGGCCCATGGCGCGGCGGCGGCGGGAGCCCCACGGCCGCCGGCTGCCGCTGGCCCCGCGCTGGGCACGGCGGCGGCGGCGGCGGCGGCGGCGGCTCCTCCTCCATGGCGGCCCCGCGGCCCCGCGCCCCGTGCCCCGGGGAGGGGCCGCGCCGCCGCCGAGCGGCGGGACCGGGCGGGCGGGGGCGGCAGGTGGCGGAGCCGCAGCCCCGGGACCGCACCGGGACCCGCGTCCTCCCCCCCGGGATGAGCCGCCGCCGCCCCCGCGCGGTCCCGCCGGGAGGGATGGGGGACCCCCGGACGGGGACGGGACCCCCGAGGGGCAGCGGCTCCCCGGGAGCGGGAGCGGGACCCCCTGAGCAGAGACAGGATCGCAGGATCCCCCGGGAACGGGGCTGGCACCCCTCAAGTGAGGAACTGCCCTGGCGCTGACCCATCCCGGGCACCGCCGGCTTCCCGCGACCAGGGATGGGGAACAGGGACGGGATGGGCAGCTCTGCTCCCAGCCAGCCCCTCAACCCCCTGCACCCCATCCCTGCCCCTGCAGCCCAGCACAGCCCCACCCTGCAGAGCCCCCCAGCAGCCCCAGGCAGCTCCTTGGTTTGGGGTCCCCCCTGGGCTGGGGGCTGCCCCATGTGGGGCCATGGCTCGGCCTCGTGTGCTCAGCACTACAGCCCCGGCACGTGGGAGCGTGCCCCCCAAACACGGGGTGCTCCAAACACCAACAGCCCCAATTCCTGGGCAGGGAACATCCCACGGCTTCACCCACACCCCTGGGCAGCTCCCAGCCGGGCCCTGGCAAAGCTCTGGGTGCCACTGGTCACCAAACCCACTGGGTGGTAGGAGTGGGAACTAGGGTTCCACTGGGAACCAGGCTGGGCTTTCCTTCAGGCCATGGCAGGACCGTCCTGTCCCATCCTGTCCCATCCTGTCCCATCCTGTCCCATCCCATTCCTGGACACCCCCTTGTCCCAGCCCTGGCTGGGCTCAGCTCCGAGCACGGGGCTCATACATCCCCACCGCCAGTTTGAATATTTAAAGCCGAATTTTGCGTACACGATTAATTTTTTACAAGCCTTCAAGCCTGCACAGAACAGCACCACGCTGCACATGTCACGTTGCCACAAATAGATACAGGCCTGGAAAAATTACCGGCTGCTGGGAGAATAAACACGTTGGAGCCAGTTTCTCCCTTCTCCCCTGCCTCCACATTTCTCTGCTCTGGAGCAGCTCTGTCCCACAGGACGCCCCAGTCCTCCTGCCAGGGTTAGCAGGCTGATGCCCCATCACTCATTTTGGAGACCCCCGCTGGGGTGCAGCTCATGGGCACCCCATTATTCCCATTGTCCCCCCCCCACTGGGTCCCTGGTCCTTTCTGGATGTGCAAATGGCCTTGACCCACATGTGGGACACCCTGAGCTCCATCATGAGCCTTCCTGGGCCTCAGAGCAGCTGAACAAAGGTGGCACTGACCTGGTACAGCCACATTCACCTGGTGCAGAAGCATTTGGAGTCTCTCGGGGCTTTGGTGCCATTGGTGCCCTCTGGACAGCCATGGTCCCGTGCGAGCGGGTGGCCACTTGCCCCTGGGGTGGTTTTCAGGGCCAGCCCCATTCCCTGTGTGGCTGAGCTGGCACTGGCTGAGTCACAGCCAGGTGGGATGGGGTGGGCGGCTGTGCTGAACCCACACAGGGCACCCATCCACTCACACTGGGCACCCACAGCAGGCATCCACCCACACTGGGCACCCAGCAGGCCCAGCCACCCCCAGCACACTCAGCTGGTCCCAGGGTGGGTGGGACAAGGACGAGCGGAGGCCTCCCTGGCACTGGGAACAGGCAGGGGGGTTTTGGTGAGTGAGAGGGGATAAATTCACCCAATGGTGTGTTGGGGTGGCAGCCCCAGTGCCCAGTGTCCCTTCCCTCCTGTGTCTGGGAGGGGGTGGGATGGGGAGGAAAATGAGGATGAGGATGAGAATTAGGATGGAGGGGATGGAATTGAGGATAAGATAGGAAAGAAGACAAGGACAGAGATGGACTGGGGATGACACTGGGATAGGGATGGGTGGGAAAGGAGTGTGTGCCTGCCCAGCCCTGCTGTGCCACCCTGCCCTCCTTGGGAAGAGCTGGAATCCCCAGCTCAGCTGGGACACCAAGCACTCACCCCCTGCCCCATACCCTCCGTGCCACCCCCATAGCCCCGTGTGACACAGCCAGGAGGAGGATTGAACTCTCATGGCCACCCAAACCCACCACCTGCCCTGTGCCCCTGCCACTTGTCCTGCTTCCCACCAGATTTCCAGCCTGGTTGTAAAAGGGAAAAACCCACAGGAGAATCGAGGCCCACAGCTCAGGGAGCCCCTCACAGGTGCAGCTCTGAGATCGGGGCTGTGGCAGCGCTGGCTCAGCCCCGGCAGAGGCACAGGGTGGCTCCGGTCCATCCCCGGCAGAGGCTCAGGGTGGCTCCGGTCCAGCCCCGGCAGAGGCTCAGGGTGGCTCCGGTCCATGCCCAGGTCCAGCCCCGGCAGAGGCTCAGGGTGGCTCCGCTCCCCCGACATCCCCGCCCGGCCAGGGCAGCGCCGCTGCCGCCGCCCCAATTAGCCGGGGAGATTACAGATCCTTGCCGAGGGGAGATTACCCTGCTCGGATCCTGCCACTCGCTCCGGCTTCCCGGCTGATTTGTCTGGGGCCGCAGCTAATCCCCTGCCGGGCAGACACCAGATTGAGCCGCGATTGCCGCTCGGCTGCCAAAAGCCCCCGGTGCTGCTCCTGAGCTCCCTCCGGGCCACCGGGATCCGCTCGCCGCTGATCCCGGGGCACGGGGGGCTCCTCCTTCACCGGGGGCGTTGGCAGAGCCCGCAGCGTGGCCGAGCGGCTCGACAGGGACGGGGATGGGGACAAGGACGGGGACAGGGACACGCTGGTGCCGGTCCCGCGGGACCCCCGGGCTGCGGGCGGGGGGCGCGGGCGGAGGCACGGGCAGCCAGCCGGGGAAAATCCGCATCCCCGTTATGCAACGGCGCTGATTTATTCATGCCTGAACCGGGCACTGGCCTAGAAATTAGCCCGGGCGATGGCGGGGAGGGGCCGGGACGATGCCGGAAGCCCCGGGAGCGGCGGGAGCGGGGCCGGGCACACCCCGGGCACAGTGGGTCGGTGTCCGGCCCACAGCGGCGATGCCCGGGGTGCGACACCGGTGCCACGGGGCTGGGCACGGGCACAGCACCCCTGGCCGGGCTGTGGGTGGGCTGAGCCCCCTTCTCCCACCGCCGGTTCCCGGAGCCGCCGGCTCGGGCTGGGCAGGGCCGGGCTCGGAAGCGGCGCTCAGGAAACTCCTTGGAAATGGAACACGAGCGGAACAAGCGCCGTGCCCGGCCCTTCCCGGCACACTGGGATGAGCTATCCGGCCTGGCACAGCGGGGAGAGGGGAACAGGGACCGGCACGGCCACGGCTCCGCCGGGCAGGACCCCGGCACCCTCTGTGTCCCTGCCCCGGCGCACGGAGCACCAGGACGGGTGCGAAACACCAGGGAGGGAATGCTGAGAAAACATCTGCCGGCCCGGGGGCGGGCCCAGAGCGGCTGCACAGCCCGGCCGAGAGGAAACAGATGCCACCGGCCCAGCCCAGGCATTTCCCGGCCCGGTCAGGGGGTGTGGAGGAATCTGCAGGTGGCAGAGGCTGTGGGATCACATCCTGCCCTGCATCCTACTGGACAGTTCAGTTTAGGACCCAAGGCATAGACTGGGGTGCTGGGCACCCCCAGAGCAAAGGGAGGGATGCAGGAATGGGGTTGGGAAGGTGGGAGTGGACACAGACCTCGTGGAAGAGCCACTCGTACCCTGGCACTGATGTGCACAAGTATAGAAACAGCTGTAGAAACCAGCAGAGATTTATTATCACAACAAAACTCCCAACAATCCAAAGGCCACCGAGTGTCCCAGCACGGCCAGGGCACTGGGATCGGGCTGTGGAGAAGAGGGGAGGAGGGAGGGGAGGGCCCGAGCCCGGCCCGGCCCCGCTCCCTGCCCGCAGGGTGTCACTGTCACTCGGCTGCCAGCTCCCGCTGCCGCTGCAGCAGCGATTCCAGCAGGCTGGCTCTCTGCACGGCCGCCTGCACAGGGCACAGCACAGGGCACAGGGAGCTCGCCGTGCCCGCCCAGCCACAGCCAGGCCAGGGCCAGGAGCCCTCACTCACCTCGTACTGCTTGCGCAGGCTGCTCATGCTCTCCTCCTTCCTCAGCACCGCCGCCTTCACCCTGATATGGATACAGGGGCTGAGCATCCCCCGGTGAGTGCCAAACACGGGGCTGGCCCTGCCCCAGGGGGGACTGCAGCCCTGGGAGCTCAGCCCTGGGAGCTCAGCCCCTCTCCCCCAGCCACAGCTGGGCTCCAGGTGCCATCACACACTGGCAGCACCTTTATTCCACTCTGTAGTGTGGACTGACTTGTCTACAGGAAAAAAGGCACATTAGCTTCCTGAGGTTTAATTATCACAGCATTTTGGGGATGTCCCAGCAGTCTCTGTGGCTGTGCCCTGACCCTGGGCTCTGTGCCCTAACCCTGGGCTCTGCCCCTCTGGAGAAAATCACATGGCTGCAGTCACAGGTATCATGTGTGAGCCACAGAGAGCCCCCAGGAGGTGACAGTGATGCTGGCCAGGGCTCCTGCACACAGAGCTGTGCTCCACTGGCCTCTCCTGGCACTCATGTCCTCCATGCAGGCAGAGGAGCAGCCCTGGGGACACGATGGCACAGAGCAGGCCAGCGGTGACAAGGGACAGAGGATTCAGGGTGCCTGAGCAGCACCCAGTTCAGACAACTGGCTTCTGCCTGGTTTGCCTGGACAGGGCTGGAAGCTTGGGAAGTGTTCCCAAGGATGCAGCGCTGAGCTCCTGCACCCCACCTGGGCTCCTCACCTCCTGTGCACCTCCTCCAGCTCCTGGTCCTTCTCCCTCAGCAGCCTGTCCAGCTCCAGGTGCTGCCGGGCCCTCAGCTCCGCCATCTCTGCCTTCAGCCGCGCGTTCTCCTCCTCC